GAGAGAAGGGTGTCGCCCTTCCTCCCCAGCGGTAGAGTTTGTTACAGGGAGTGGAGCCAAGCGGTCTCACTCCCCAGCGGCAGTGTGCAGTACAGGGAGGGGAGTGTGTTGGCATTCCTCCTGTTATGAGCAAATGCAAATATTACAAGTTTTAGAATGAAATGTTGTATTTCTTAAACTGTATACTTTGTCTTTAAGAGATATTGCAAACTGACAAGGTGTTAGAAACGGAACATAATGTTTTTCATAACTGTTTCATTAAGCAATAACCTCTTACCTACCTTCAGTGCATAATATGTTTGCGCCATTTTGTCCCAGACAAATTACAATAACAAGAATGCATAAACAAGCTTCAAGGCTATGCTACGACTCTTTCAGTACACAATATACTGTGGTAACCTTAAGTAGATAAGGATGTTCAGACTTTAAGCTGACATCTTGAACTAAGTCAGGAAAATTTCCATGACGTATACACCCTTTAGTTATGGCCAAGTTAAGGGAGGTCCTAAAATGAATAAAGTAAAATAAGTGTTACTTTTTCATATATGAACTACGGTAACCCTAAAATGAAGACACCTATGGTATAAATAGGTGTACTTTTAAATGTTAAAACGGAGGGAGAGACTTGGAGACAGACGCTGCTCCATCTTAAAATGACAGAGAGGCTGGCATGATGACATGATCAGAAGGGTATGTTAACCTATAATATTTGCAAGCATTTGCTTTAATCTTATAAACTCTGCTACAAATTATTGCAAGGGATTTTATAGATATATATTTATATTTTTAGATAATAAATATCTAAAAGACAAAACTTTAGTGCTTCCAAGACAATCCTTATTTTATATTGTATTCTCAATTATTTATATATGTCAAATTGAGGATCTTTTACACTAACTATATAAAATTAGGACTAAGATATCTGGATGGTTAACCATACTAAGTTCTATGCTTTAAGACGTTATAGTGGTAAATAAGGGAACCAGCCGTGGTTACACTCCCCAGCGGCAGAGTGTATTATTGAGAGAGGA